TACTGCTTGTACTATTCACTCGTGCAGATTTTCTTAATGTCTCCCTATATCCACCAACACGTGGTAGATTTGCTTCTGCAGGTTTACTTTGCTGTGTCGCCGTTACATTTTCTGTATTCTCCGATTGGTTGGTTTGCTGATGATTCTGCATATTATTCACATTATGGGCCGAAGGTATATGACGATGTTTCATGCCATTGGCGGCCATTATCATCTCAGCATCATATTTGGTCATGCCTTTTTGTCGCAATTCCACCATTGTTAAGGGTGTTACAACCACATTGTTATTTTTGTTCAAAGCCGTGTCGGAGCTTACATCCCCATGTTTACCCAAGCTATTGTTGCAGTTACCAACAATATTCCCCGAAGCATTGCTATCACTTAATGCTCCATTTGTGAGTTCGGTATTTGTAGAGTTGGTTGAGTTGGCTCTACTTTTTATTCGATTTATACGATTATCGGTTTCCCGCAAACGATATCCACCGCTGGCGTTAGCATCACCCACAACGCAAGCTCCATTTAAACCCAGCGCCAGCGCAGAATCAACACCCAATTGGCTATTGCCATTTTTGCCCGCAAATGCGCCTGTTCCTCTACGTTCGCAGGTTTCACACTCACAATAACAATTTGCATCGCCGAAAAAGTCTTCGCCGTAGAAACAAGTGATCTCCTCGCCAACTTCAATGTCACGCAACACTTTTACACAAGCCGTGTCACGGCCAGTTGCCACGAACTTGCAATTGGCACGACAATCGTGATTAATATAGGCTGCAGGTCCCAGCCATAATTGGGCACAGTTCTTACGACAACTGTACATGACGGAGAAATCATTTTTTCCGGTATGCAAGAGGGCAGCCTCTTCGGCTTCCGTTAGCTCAGCTATACAACCGACAAGGCATTCGATCTTATCATTTTTTTGCCAACGTTTTGTGGCACATATTTTTGCCCCCTTTTGTCCTTCCAGGGAGTAACGATAACAGGCTTCTATAACAAAACCACTATCTTTATCAAACACTCGTAAATAGCGAATAATCTGAAATTATAAAATAAAATGTTTTATCCGTTGTGTCCAGTTTCAAGAAAACATTAAGCATTTTATACACAAAAAGTGTTTAATTTACAAAACTTGAAGTTGTGTATAAACCGCTTCAATATCGTTCCAAATTATTATCTTCACTTACATGATCATGCAATTTTTTAATCGCCATTTTATTTTTATTACGAAAACTACGCGGTAACCATGGACCACTGAAAATCTTCTTTACAGCCACTTCGTAATTTTGTGTTTGTATAAATTCATCGACAATCGATTTCAGTTGGGCTGTATCAACCTTCAAGGGACGATAACGTATATTCATTTTGTGCGTCTGAAAGCCCAAATGCGGATCCAATATTAACGATGTAGCTAAATCATCATTTTCGGACAACTCCTTGGGAGTCATGCCGGTGGATTGTGAGAGTCGAGATACAATACTATGTGTGGACCCATTAATGCCACTAAGCGGCAAGTGATAACCATTGTTGCCATTGCTATGATGATTTGTATGGCCATGATTGTTGCTGGTGGAACTGTAATGACCATTTGCAGACATTGAATGTGTTTTGTTGTTGGTTGCAACAATGGCACTGCTCAATGTGGTTAAATTAATGCCGGCAGTGGCAGTAGCAGCCGCAGTTGAGTTGGCGTATTTTGTTGCAGTTTCACTACGACGGCTGTGATGTGAACCAACAACCATTCTGTACTACAGTCTGAAAAGGAAATAGAAAGATTAATTTAAAATTTTTAATCTTTACCAAGTCAAATATTAAGAGAAGCAGTTTATCTTTCATTATTAACACTCATTTTGATTTCATTTACTTTACATCCGATAAATAATGATAAGGGGAAATATGTCCTAACAAAATCATTCACTTTTCCTGTTGTCTTGTTTTATCATCCCAACTGTTGATATTCTAGCATGCGAACTTAAATTTTTTTAACTTTATTGCACTGAACGTGCTTAATATCCTAAAACGGCGACTGAACGTACCTTACACGTAATATAACTAACTGAACACCCCCTTTAACAAAAACAGCTGGCAGTAGCCAGACGACGTGACCAGCTGTTAAGGAGAACGATGCGTAAAAGCAATAGAAACAAATTAACCCAGGTTATGAAGATAATGGAGAAAATACAGATATACGTATAATAAACCGAAATATCATAATAATTTTAAGGAAACCACATTTTTCACTATCATAACTTTGTTTCACAATGTTTTAGAACATCCATGGTTTTTCCCCATATTTTTTTTTTTTTTTTTTTTTCTAAATGTCTTTTCACTCTTGCTTTTTAAAAGTAGATACAAAAATTATTGATTGACTTCACACTCCACTTCTTTTTTGTGTGTACATGAGAGATGGACAATGTAAAAGGCATACAAGAAAACACATACGCAATGCAAAAGCCCAACATTGGACCGATTAGACATATGTAACCGTTACGTTGTCGTAATTTACTTGACACCGAAATTGATTAACTTAAAAAAATACTTCTACATAAGAGCTTTACGCCGGATAATGTACTTTATGAGGGTTAATTTAACATATATTCAATGTAATTGGCAATTTAAATCCGTAATACCGTAAACTGTAAACGTATTATTAATCGGTAAATAATAAATCACACAAAAATCTTCGACCGACAATAAAGTAAAACATCAAATATTAAGATAAAAGCTTAATTAGGCTCATTCTCACTTGTTTCTACTGTTGATTATTTCAATCAGCTGACATTCACGATACAGCAACGATTCCACTAACTCAACTCGACATGTTTACAACCACAAAAAAATAATTGGCCAATATTTGTTTTTATCTCATTTTATCTTCATTTACATTAACTTGACAAACATTTTCTTTCGAAATTTGTATTAAAGTTGTCTCTAATCACTCACGTAAAATAAAACACACAAAGAAAGAACGTTAAGAAAAAAAAGATGTAACCGAACGAAGAGAAACATATGAACAAAGAAAAACCCTAAAAATCAACAAAATACGAAAGAACTCATACACAGGTACACACTGGTTGTCTCTTTCTAACACACGAAAAATACCGTATATGTCCATCGTTTTGTATGGATTCTTTATGTTGAGACGAATTCGAAAAAAGTAAAAAAAAAAAAACACGATTGCACGAAAAAGAACGTACGCTCATTAAATACATATGAAAATGGCGGCGTCGGTTCGACTTCTTTTTCTAGGATATGTTCCTTTAAGCTTGGTTTTAACCAAATTTAGCGTAGGGACACAAGTCTATTTACCTTTTATCAAATATATCCCAACAGCTTTAAGCGTTACGTTCTGCTAGTTGTTAACAATCAAACTTGCTCTCTTGATTGCTATTGTTGTTTTTGCTGTTGCTCTTGTTCGCTTGATAGGTTTTTTCTCAGACCTTTTCTGCATTTATGTATACATTTCTTCAATTTTCCATAGTTCCGATTCTGTTTGCAGTCTCCATTGTAACAAATAAGCTATGGTGTTTTATTTTGGCTTCATTTTGTGAAGTTATTGCAGTTTTCCGTGTTATCTGGCTCCCTAGCTGTGTTGTTTCGTTTCCGTCGCCCGTCTCAACAGACACAAAGAAAATAAGTCAAACCAAATAAGTCTTTGGCTTAGATGAAAAAAATCCTTCTGCCAGAATCAGAAACAAAAAATATTCTGCCGTTCTGCTTTTCCGAGCGAATTCTCTTCCAAAACTGACAACGGCGTCGCAGTTTTGCGACTGTCGATGGGGTTATGACCAATTGATGCCCGCCTCAACGCCTTATCCAATGGCGTCGACGTCGCTGCCGTACTATGTCGGTCGCTTTGTCTGTCCGGGTATACTTCTGTCTGGCTGCCTACTTCTTCTTCTTCTTGTGTCGTCAGACTGTGGCGTGCAAGAAGTTGCGTTACTATATTTTCTCGGCGATTTTCTTCCTTGCTCATGCGTTTTCTCGCTAAATATTAGTTCCGACAATTTTCTAGACATCCATTGTATGGCTTTATTATTAAAAATCCGGTTAAATTAAAACTTTGCACGGTTAAATTCACTAATCAATGACAATTTAGTTAGATTTTCTTCAGTCGATTGGCTACACACACATTTCAGCTTTTTGCAAGAACTATGAGCAAGAGGTCCGAGGCAAGCGATTGCTTTACTTTAACGGCGTTTAAAAATTATGGGAAGACGGTACTGAAGAAAATGACAAATTCCTATTACACTGCGTTTAGAAAAAACAAGCCAATTGAAACACAAATCAACTGGAAGATTTTAAGGAACACTCATGGTTGAAGAATACAGGTATTCCATCGACACAGCTGCTGGGCTAATGAACTGCCTAACCAATATTAAAATTGAAAATTTTGAATGAAATTCTTGAAAAATTCATGTCATAACAACCTCCGATTGACGTCGTATAAGAAAATATATAAAAATTCTACTTATTTTTGAAAAATCTTTTTAAAACTTTTGACATATCAATGCCCCCATGAGAATACTTTGGATATGTATACATTTTATTATTCAGTGGATTAAAATTGTCGCTTCAACCAAGTAAATCCAAATAACAAGGGTTAACCCGACACTCTAATAAACATCATAATTTATCGTTTTGTTATGTATCCTGCATTTACAAAATTTTAAATGTTATTTCTTTGTCGCTCACATATTTTCATGTTCTTCTCTTCTATAGTTTTATTATTAAAGCAAATTTACTTATTTTTCCTTAAAATTTGTTTTCCTATTAGATGTTATCAATATAAAATAATGTTTCACAATTTTAAACGCGTTCATTCTGCTATTTCTACTTTAAATGTGACTTTAGTTCTTATAAAATTTGTAGTTGGTGTAATTTATGCATGTACCTTACTTATTGCTCCATACTACCTTTTACAATTTGTAGAGCGACACCTGTACGCTATTTTACCATTTACTTTCTTGTCATCTAATAATTTCTTAATTTTCAAAAAAGAAATTTGTCGGCAGTAAATTACTTCGGATGGCTGATATTATTGAAGAAGTAAAAACCGAAATTTTTGGTACTTTCAATAATTCAAAGAAAAACAAAAATACGACTTAATTAATGCTGCAAACGGTATTGCGTGCCAATGTAAGCATACATCTCGCATAGCACTAGTTGAGGAAAGAATAATGTGGTACGCATTTATTTCAATTATTTCTAAATTTTTATTTCTTAACAAAATTCTATAAACTTTAGGTTCAAGCGAATGTCATGGCTCTATCAAATTCTTTTGTTTGTCCTTAGCATCCTCTTGATGTTAATTTTCTGTGGATTTTGGTTATTACGTCAATACAACATTTCAAATATATTTGGAGTTCATGCTGCATTTTGGCCTTACAATGCATGTACTGTGGCTTTTTGATAATTTAAGATAAATATAACTATCTGCTGTCGACAGATTTTCATAGTTAAATAAACTCACGATTGGTTTACAAGTCCTATAGATAATTTATGACCGTCTATGCAGAGTTGTGTGATCCATGGACTAATCAAGGCTGTCAGTCGTAAAAAATCGAAAACTTCCTAAAAAGTTTGTTCCAGGGAGACATAGAATCAAAATTTAGGACCCGGTTATAACGAGAACATTTTTGGTGTGGCAGCTACTGATACCCAATAGCCACATAATTTACTTTCTCACCACAATGGATAACAAAGAACATATCTGCGTTACTAATAAGCCAAAAATCGCAATAGCAATTCTGCATCATTTTCCCACATCGCATAATAATTAGTAAAGTGGCGCAGAGTGTAGTTATTCGAATCAACCCTTTTCCACAATTTCTTTCGTGAACATTTTCTATGAGACGTCTATATATAAAAAACATTAAATAGATTGATGTTATATAATATAATTACCTTAATATTAAAATTTAACAGTAAAAAACGTAAACGTTTGTATCTTGATTATCTCAAGTATTCTTTATCCTTGCCAAAACAAAATTTCTCTCCTGTCATACGTTTTAAATTAAGGCACCACTATGCCACTGCACCTCAACAAAAACTGCGGCGAATTATACGGCAAAATAAGTTTTATAACGGCGTTGACAAAGCATTATTGGCATTGACCTCTCTAACACCAATTCAACGATTTGACAAAGGAAAAATATTCACGGAAATTTTCAGTGAATAAATTTTAATTTAGAGGAATATATCAATTTTATTGTAAATTCTCTTTATATACAGCACAAAGTCTTTTGAAAACACAAGGTAAGTGATTAAATTGATCGAGTAGATGTTATTATTTCTGTCCAGAATATTCTAATATATTGAAAGATTTTCTGTGGCCTGGGAAAAAAATGAATTCGCCGTTTGTGTAAAAGAAAAAAATCGGTTTGGTTGAGGTAAAAATACACAAAAACAACAACATTCACGACATATTGTTCAATATATGGGTATAAATAAGATCTATTTTAACCGCAATTTGTAACAACAAAGCTAAACGAGTTGTGAGTCAATTTATTTTTTTTTTTCTTCTTTTTCAGAACTTGTGTGATCCCCTTAACACCAATTGCCCAATTGCACTTACCAAGCTACACACTTAAAATGCCAAACATTAAATTGCAATCGTCTGACGATGAAATATTCGACACCGACGTACAAATTGCAAAATGTTCCGGAACCATAAAAACCATGTTAGAAGATTGTGGAATGGAGGATGGTGATAATGCCGTTGTGCCTCTTCCCAATGTAAATTCGGCCATTTTGCGTAAGGTTCTACACTGGGCCAATTACCACAAAGACGACCCCCAACCACCAGAAGATGATGAAAACAAAGAGAAGCGTACAGATGACATTTCCTCTTGGGACGCTGATTTTCTTAAGGTGGATCAAGGCACACTATTCGAATTGATCTTGGCCGCCAATTATCTAGATATTAAAGGACTCCTAGATGTTACATGTAAAACTGTGGCTAACATGATCAAGGGCAAGACACCAGAAGAAATACGAAAAACATTTAATATCAAAAATGATTTTACACCAGCCGAAGAAGAACAAGTGCGTAAGGAGAACGAATGGTGTGAAGAGAAGTAATCAGTTTATGCGAGCTGCGTTCGACTTAGTTTTTATGAATGCAATTAAAAGCTAAACATATGTAACTACTAATTATTAAATACCTAAGAAGCTATGTCTTAATATATGAATTTTTTTGTTTTTTTACTCTACACACTTGTCACAAACGAAGAAAACACTCATATACATTAGTATATACACCATTCAATTGAACGCCAATGTTAAGAAAGCGTGGATAGCACACGAAGTCCGCATCCCTTATAAGGTAGAACATGATCTTCATGCTAATAAATAAAGGATTTGGTCTTCTTAACTTACATGTTATCTTAATGTTTAAGTAATTCTTTATGAAATCCAAAACTAACAAAAATAATTAACGGAGAACTTTTGAATTATGATATTTGCTTCATTATAACTATTAACTAAGGAATTCGATTTTTAAATAAATATGTATTCATTTTTAAATTGCTTGCCTTTTTTGTTAATTTATTGGACAATTGCCAGAAGCATTGCAATAGCAACCAAAGCATCCAGAAAAAGTCACAGTTTCGTGTGGTTTATGTTCTAGTGGTTGGACCATAATTCTTCAACTTATAAATAAAAGAAATAAATGGACCCATTTCAAATTTCGAATACGAAATTTGTAACAAATAGGGAGAATGATGTTAAAATCATCAAAATACCGAATATCAAAAGGTACCGTTATATGGGGCCTATACGAAAACGTGGACCGACATTGCCAATTTACGAACTTAACCTGCCTACTGCGAAAATACACATGTATGCAAAATTGTAGAATTGTATATCAATTCTTTCGAAAAGTGGCGTGATTACAACAGACAGACGGACGTCGCTAAATCGTTTTAGAATTTTACGCTGATTCAGACTTTATATACAGGGTGAGTTAAAAAACTGCAACAAAGCCAAACGCCATAATTTTTATTTTTTTTTTTTTTAAATTTTATTGGATGAAAGCAAATATATCGGAAATAGCATCAAATTTTAGAATAAGTTTAGATTTGTTCGAATTGGTCACCTTTGGCACGAATTATAGCCTTCAAATGGCCAATGAAACCGTCACACGCTGCCCGAGTGTTGCTCTGCGGTATTTTGGACCATTCCCAGCGAAGCGCTTGCTTGAGGTGATCGACACTTTGGTATTTTTTAGTGCAAACCTTGCTTTCCAAAATACTCCAGACACAATAGTCCAACGGATTGGTATCCGGAGATTTTGGTGGCCATTGCGCGCTGGAAATGAAGCGAGGAACCTCAGTTTGTAACCATTCTTTGGTGGCGCGTGCTGAGTGCGATACAGAATATTTTCGCGATAATATTCGGCATTTACTCTGATGCCACGGTCGATTAATACGACTGGAGAGCGACCATCGGCTGTTATGGCGGTCCAAACCATCAGCAAACCGGCGCTTGAGTTCTGGTGGCCAACCGAAGGTGCACATTTTGAGCTGACCTTTTCGGTAAGTAAACACGATCATTTTGTTTGTTTATAAACTGCTGGATAACGAATATTTTCTCATCGGAGAAAACCAAATTTGGCAGTTCGCCACTTTCGGCAACTCTTTAGCACTTTTGAGTCTATTTTCTTCCTGTTGCGGTGTAAGTTCTTGCACTTTTCGTAATTTCAATGGCTCGGGGTAAGCTTTTTCAATATTTGCGAAAAAGAATATTGCGATATGTTCAGCTCACGAGCCATTTTTCGGCCACTGCGACGCGGGTTTCCATTAAGTCGCTTCTTTACTTTTCGATCCATTTCTGCTGATGTTGCTGTTTTCTTCCGTCCACTTCTTTGACGTCGGGTTACGCTACCAGTATCACGGTAACGAGCGAAATTACGAGACAAAAAAGATTTGTTCACATTTAAATGCTGGAGTGCTCTAATGATAACCACTTGCGGTTTTCCAGCCAAATATGAAGAAATCACACTATCACGCTTGAATTCCATCACGAATAACTTTTTTCTGGAAAATTCTCACCAAAATGCTTTTGTACGCTTGTAAACAATATAATGAACTGCATTTTTTCATCTCACCCTGTACTTTGTAGGATCTATCATGAATATTTCGAGGAGTTAAAAAAACGGAATGACAAAACTGATATACCCTACATAGAATAAATATATTTCTGTTCTAATTGTATTTACTCTACAATAAAACATGCCTATTACTGACGTATACCTACAATCTGGCAACTTGCTTTCTATTTTCCGATTATTCGCTCATTCATCTGGCCACATGGCGGCATGTGTCAAAGTTTCCAAAACGAGAGAGAACTTTTAATTAAAATTTCAGTTAATTAACAACATCGTGTTGTCTCATCGTGCAAATAACTGTGCGAAAGTAAACAAAATAGTATTTTGTACAAAGTTTGCTAACAAATGCTGCTTTTTCGATTTCGAAATGACAAAATAAAATAAGGCACAACTAAAGAAGAAGCTAAAGAAGTTTTGCATAAAAGTTTTGGCAAAAAAGCGCGTGTACATGTCGCCATATTTGCATGCCAAAACAAGTACGAAGGAAAAGTTATCTTGGCAAAGCATGCAGAATAAATAAATGGGCCCTAACAATAAATGACTACGAAAAAAGAACAATCAATAGAAAACGACATGAATTGAGAAATATTCATTTTACTTTAAATGACAATTGTAAATAGTTAAAAAGTTAATTTAGTGACAGCAAGAAGCAAATACAAATCAGACCATCAAATCATTGGCCATTGCATCAAATCAAAGGTGGTCCAACAGTTGTGTTATTGCCATAGTTTGCGGCACCAGCAACAAACAAACCTCCAAAATGATAAGTGGTGGAGGCATTTAATTTGTACTTAAGAATAGCCAAAAAAACTTTTGGACGTGTGCGTGCGTGTGAACTTTTGCTATTGGATTAGTGAATTATTTGCAAACACTTAATTATTTTTCCATTTGATCAAAGTGCGTGTGAGAGAAAGAAAGAAAGAAAAAAAAAAAACAATTGGAGTCATTAAAAGTGAAAATGAATTTGTCTCCTCTGCTTTGACAAAAACACAACAAGTGTTTAATTAACTAAGTGCGGGAAATGTATTTAAAAAATAAAATAAATCAGAAATGATTTGAATTTCAAATCAATAAAAAGAAAAATCTGAATGAAAAATATTAGTGATTTTAATTTGAATGTGTGGTCGCATCGCATTTTTGCAAAGAGTGAGTAGCTAAGAGAGATATAAAGCAAAATTAATTTGTTTACATTTTTTGCTGAACGTCAAATTTAATTGGGAGAACATATTTTTCGGCAAAAAGTGTGTGAGAGCGCAGAGCAATTGACAATCTCTCGAAGGTTGCCACATCTTCTTTTGACAATCCCCCAAAAAGTGTGAGCAAATTTGTAACGGTTTCGTATAATTTAAAGAATATTTCAAAAACAAAGACGTAGGATCATTTTGGTCAATTGTGAGTTTATGTATTTTGCCATTGAACTTTGAGATTAGTGAATGTTCCCGCATCATGGATCATTTTCAGCCGGCATTGGACCCACGAAAGCAGGAGCTTTTGGAAGCAAGATTTATTGGAGCACGGGTGAGTTTGAAATTAAATTAGTAAAATCTCTCTGATTATGTTTTATATGTTTACCCTGATTGCGAAAAGTACACGGTTACGGACGGATCCGGTTACCCGGATATATATCGATATATACAATATAGATATCATTTGAAAGCTAATGAAAATACCTACAGGGTGAGATAAAAAACTCCAACAAAGTCAAACGCCATGATTTTTACATTTTTTTAAATTTTATTGAATGAAAGCAAAAAATGTCGGAAATAGCATCAAATTTTAGAATAAGTTTAGATTTACTCGAATTGCCCACCTTCGGCACGAATTATGGCCTTCAAACGGCCAATGAAACGCTACCCGAATGTTGCTCTGCAGTATTTTGGCCCATTCCCGCCGAAGCGCTTGCTTGAGTTGATCGACACTTTGGTATTTTTTAGTGCCAACCTTGCTTTCGAAAATACTCCAGACACAATAGTCCAATCCGGAGATTTTGGTGGTCGTTGTGCGCTGGAAATGAAGCGGGGAACCTCATTTTGTAACCAATCTTGGGTAGCGCGTGCTGCGTGCGATGGTGCTGAGTCCCGTTGGAATGTCCAAGGTATGTGGCCAAAATGTTTTGAGTGTCTTAGGCTTTAATACACCCTCAGGAATATTTTCGTGGTGATATTCGGCATTTTTTCTGACACGGTCGATTAAAAGAAGCGGAGAGCTACCATCGGCTGTTATGGCGGCACTGGTGGCCAACCGAAGGTGCACATTTTCAGCTGACCTCTTTGACAAGAAAACACGATCATTTTGTTTGTTTACAAACTGCTGGACAACGAATATTTTCTCATCGGGGAAAACCAAATTCGGCAGGCCACCACTTTCGGCAAAGCGAAGCAACTCTTTAGCTCTTCTTTCTGTTGCGATGTAAGTTCTTGCACTTTTTGGAATTTCAATGGATTTACCCCCCGCTCATTTTTAAATGTTGAAATCTTTGTTGCTTACAAAGGCTTCTAATTGGCCGATCCTATGTTTTTACGCAATGATGCGGGATTCGATTTCTTTCCAGAGGAGTTGCGAAGGGTGACTTCCAGAGTCCCAAAAATGTAAAATGAAACGTAGCGCCTTATGCGCTTCGTCCTCACCAAGGAGTGATTGCTTCTCCCATCGAGTGAGTCGCATCATGCTAAGGCAAGGTTCATAATTATGACTATTATTTCTACTTGGAATATACTCCAGGGATAAACGTATTTGTTTCCTTTGAGTAAACACTTGGGGTAATTGTATTTAAAATATGATGTTGCTAGGATCAATAATAGATAAAAATATTGCACACCCAATAAAAAATTAAATTAATCCACTAATTTTTATTTGCGTCAAGGTTGAATCCTAAAAAAATATATCACCACTCCATGTATATTTTTTAAATATAAAAATCTATTGACCCTCAACACCTCCACATCAAAATTATTTTTAAATTAATTTCCGTATTATGGACAACCTCAGATAAAACAAAAAATATTTATGTACACCAGCAGAGAGGAAAACAAAACAAAAAACTGCAGACAGGGCCACAGAGCAAATAGTGTGCAACGAATAGAATTGGGTTAATTTTATGTACTCCGTCATCATCATCAACAACGGCATGGCACACAACACACTCTCAACCCAGAGGATGTTCGTATTTTCTGTCATGCTCTGCACGAAACCACCAACCAACCAGCCCAGACCGACCATGATAGTCTCATGTAAGTCTCAATGTTGTTCTACTCAATACTGCTGAATAGCAGCAACGTCAGCAGCAGGAGCATTGATGAAGGGCGTAATCGGTACCAGAGTGTTAGCCAGGAAGCGCCATAAATACATCCAACCAACAGTGCAGTAGAGCTCAGTCAGTCATTGTTTTACCTTGGCCATGTCCCTTTTTTTCTTGTAT